TGAGAACGCTTGGATGCTCAAGAATATTATAAATCATTATCTGAACAAGATATGAGGCAAGAAGCTACAATATACCTCGTACTTATCTATTACTGGTATTTTGTGCACCACTAGACAATACAACATGAGATAATTATATAATAATCACCTCCATGAAAAAGAAAAAATTTTGGAAAGCAAGGCTATGTGAAATTAAATAGAAACTTAAAGCCTACTCATATGATTGTGGGAAAATTCAAAAACGAAATAGAGTGAATACAGCTCTTATATAATATCTACTGGGGGTCTCGAATAACTTACTTATGAAACGAAAAATGAGAGATAATTGCAGGTCTTGTTGGGATGACTATAAGTGTGTAGTAGGAGGCGCTGTCTACCCTTAAATGTTACGTGCACAACTTACTATGAGATTCGAATGTACGAAGACCAGGATGGTGTGGCTTTTGTATGGTCGCGTTATCCTTTCATTCTATAGAAGTTGCCTGACCTTGTTTTCACAACTTGGTGATATTGGCAGAAATACGTGGAGGAACGCACCTTGTCCGGAGTCCATTGTATGCATAATCATTTCCATACGTTTCGCCGACATCGTTAGTGAGCCTTGCCATGCTTAGCACCATACTACAATTCGTCAGAGTCAACTGAAGCCGATCCTTTGACCAATTGTCTGCTAAGCAGTTGTGGCACCTCTCCTTCTGTCCTGGGCTATTCACCTATCCTATATCCTCGTATCACCCCTTCACTATCACAATTTCTTAATTGCCTATTTAGGTGTGGTATGGTGTGCTATTTTTAGCAGAAATACTATTAACTCCGGACAAGGAGTGTTCCTCTAGGTCTTTTTGCCAATATGACCAAGTTGCAAAAACAAGGTCAAACAACTTCTTAAAATTGGATTGTCTAGGCCAAATTACTTTGTTGCTATCTCCGCATACACACATACTCGCATGCATATGTTTTCATATGTAACCCTTTTGTTAACAGATCTGGGATACTAGGATGTTCCGTCCTGTCTGCCTGCTTTATGGTCATTCAGCCTCTGTCAGAGCCTGCCGGTTTGTATCACCTGGCGTAAACTTGTCCTCCCCACGGCTCTCACAGCCCTTGTCTTCTGGACCTTCGTCTTACTCCTCAGCTCCAGTTACGGCTTCAGCAGACGGGGAGGTTCGAGTTTGGCCGCCTGTATCGATAGGTTTGGGAAGAGAAGATGGACTTAACCTCGGAGCACCCGTTCAATGCCTGGAGAAAAGCCAAGTATCTTTTCGACTCCCTGGGTCCGGACCAATCCATGACATCGTCCAGATTTCAGGCGACCAGTGAGTAGTTGTTTCATCCTTGTTGGTAACTCTTGAGTCCAGCTTATTACATAAGCACCCCATTTCTTGTGCTCTGCTTAAGTGCTCTATGACTTCCCTTCCTTCCAGACAACTTTATCTTCTCTCTTGAAAACTCTTGGTTTAAGCCAGACTCTTCTGAGATCTTCCAAGCTAACAGGTGAAGCAAGTATAGGAAGGATGAATGCAAAGTATACTAAGACTGCATGCATTTTGGTCGGTGTTGAGAGCTAAGAATTGTAGATATTCATATTGGCCTGAGACGGCCATAGGAATTTATAGTTTATATAGGCTTTATTTTTATCAATTTTTAATTAGTTTCATCGATTATCTTTGGAACCTCATGCAAAATATTTGAGACTAAGAGTGAGCCATATTTTCTGTCGGCAATTTGAAGAATTGCTCAACTTAAAAAATCTTCAAACCTCCTTCATGGTCTAGGAAGAGCAAACAACGCTGGTGCTCGTTAGAGCGCCATTTTCAGTTAGAAATGGTACACATAAAG